TTTTTTGTGCGCGCTTCACGGCCTAACACCGTCGTGTCGGTGATTTGGTGGCCGCCGATTCGCACCGGAGTGCTCGCGCTTCAAGTTACTTCGAGTTGAGCCGCCCCCCCGGTTTTCTGACCGCTGCACTTTTCGTTTGGGTGTACAGCTCCTCTTTCACACTACCCATCGCTGCATTGCCAGTGTGCACGTTGTGACATTGTGTGCTTTCGACAGTGTTCGATCGCACTTAGCACTTCCATCTGCTGCTCGCGCCTGAGGATCGTCTGCTCCGCCGGCTTGAACATTTTGCGTGTGTTTGCAACGCGATTGTTTTTCTTAGAAATAGTGCTCCAGCTGCAGCATGGGCCTCATTGTCGGATCGGCGCGTTGCTCCCGTCATTCAGAATGGCACCCTCGCCCTTGTGCGGTTCATTTTTATGGATTCGAATCGTTTTTCATCGTTGTCGCCCCCTCCCTCATTTCCCCTCCTCGACCTTCCCTGGTCCTCTTGCTCCCCCCCGCTCCTTCCACTTCAGCTCTTGCTGCCGCTGCTGTTGGTCCTTTTTTGGGGGGGGTGTTATCCTCCTCCTCCTTGGTTTTCGCCGGATCATTCTCCTGCTCATCCGCCACCTCCTCCACTGTACGCAGCTCCACTTTTCCCGACTGCACAACACGATGGTGTCCTCTGTGGAGTTTCAGGTCGGCTATGACACGCGTCGGCGGGCAAACACAAGGGGACAATTCAACACCGTGGGCATGGGATGGGTTGGGGGAACAGGATGGCATAGATGCCTCGAGCGCGCTTGGCTTGCTCTAGCCTCCTCTTTCCCCCCTCTCCCCCTTTCTCGTTGTGTTCCGTTTCGTTGTTTTTTGTCCGTCCTTCCTCCTTCGTCGTTCCTCCCTTGTCGCTGGTACAGTCAACCCGCATAGTAAGGATGGGCAACCTTTCCGCTTTACACCACACCGAGGAGCCCCCAAGCACCAGGGGGACCCCCCGGAGCCTGCGGGTCCAGGGAACGTTCGCAATCGCATGACCACCCAGCGCGTGTTGCTGCAGGATATGTCCACCAGAAAGCTTTCTTCTCGTATTTCTGAGCACGAATACGCGTGTCAAGAGCTCTATGAGGGTCCCGGCGGTAACCAGGTTGACGGTTTATGGGGCGATGAAAAATGGAGAGGGAGAGGGGAGGGGGAGGGGGAGGGGGAGGGAAGGAGGAGGAGGAGGAGGAGGAGGAGGAGGAGGAGGAGGAGGAGGAGGAGGAGGAGGAGGGGGAGGAGGAGGAAGAGGATGAGGAGGAGAGGGGGAGGAGGAAGGAGTAGGAGGAGGAGGAGGGATGAGGAGGGAGGAGGAGGAGGTAGGAAGGAGGAGGAGGAAGAGGAGGAGGAGGAGGAGGAGGAGGAGAAGCAGTAGGCGGAGCTGGCGGATGGGGGTGGAGGAGGAGGACGAAGATGAGGACCATATGAATGCAAGTCATCCTCACGTCCCAATCCATCCTCATAAATCTCTACAAGTGCACCTTTCCATCGCGGGAAACGCCCTCTTGAACGGCGAAGCGCCGGTGGCCGCGACTCGGCGAGAGGCCGTTTTGTGTCGAAGGCCCCTGGCATGCTTCGAGCTTTTTTATTTGGTCTTTGATTGATTGTTTTTTTATTTTTTTTTTGTTTTTTTTGATGATTTTTTTTTGATCTTTTTTGATTTTGATGTGTTTTGTGTTTTTTTTTGAATTTATTGTTTTTATTTTGATGTGATTTTTTTTTTTTTTATTTTTTTTTGTTTTTTGTTTTGTTGATGTTTTGTTTTTTTTTTTTTTTTTTTTTTTTGATGTTGATCTTTGGTTTTTTTTTGTACAACCTTGTATGATATTTTGAATTGGTAGGCTGGAAAAGGCGTTGAATTTTTTTGGTTTTTTTTTTTTTTGGTTTTTGTGTGTTTGCTGCATGCTTCTAGCTGAAACGACTTCGAAGATATATGATGGTTAGTTCAAGGAGATGTCTAGCGATAGCCCAGTGTTGAAAAGGATCGGCCTCCACCCGTGTAGTTGTTGCATTGCTCAGAAGAGTGGAGGCATTTTTGTTTCCGTTGACGCTATTGTTGTTTTTTGCAACGAATGTGCTCGGCGCGAAGGCGAGAACCGTATGGTGACGACCACTTGCCCGCCATCCTTGTAGCCGTCGGAAAGTTCTAGAACAAATGTGCGTGGCGCGAAGGCAAGAGCCGTGTTTTGGAAACCGCCGGCCTTCCATCATTGTAAGTTTTGTTCTCGTCGTAGTTCTAGGATAATAAAGTACAGGAAAATTTACAGCGAAATGCCCAGCCCAGCTTACAGATACGTCAGGTGGTGCGACACATTGGAGTACTCACAAGGAAAAGCGACGGAGGAGAAGGAGGAGGTGGTTGAATGGCGTTCTCGTTCAAGCACGGTTGTGTCAGGATGTATTTCAGTAGTTAGTACCGAAGCGCGATTGTGTCAGGATTCGCATGTAAGGAATCAGGGCCGCTCGAGGGGAGTGCGCTGCTGCAGTCGTGACCCAGAACATGACATCACCTTTCACTATTGCTTAGCTGCATTCTGGCCTTCAGCATGCATAGGCCTAGTGGCAGAAGACCGGTTCAACAGACGACCGGTTCAACAGGGACCGGTTCAACAGACGCC